ATATATATATATATATATATATATACATTCATTATATCTAGCTTTCATTATATCTAGCTATGTTTGTACAATATAGATAAGAAATAAGATGTATTCTAAGTTTTGAATCTAATTATAACTTACGCATTAAACATAATACCTCTCATTTATTTCCGGTTTTGTAAATAAATATTCGAAGTTTATAACAAAAAGTAAAACTGTACATATGTTAAAATTTAATTATGATCAAGAAATATATATACATATATACATATATATTTCAAATATGTATTGAGTTTTATTCCAGTTTTCCCTCAAGTGATTGAAAACTATTATGATTTTATTAATATGTTATTTTGTTATACAACACTAGAAAAGATTCTAAAATGTAGAATTCCAACACTATTCTTAAACTATTCACATATTCTTCAAGGACATTAATATATATTATAATTTAAAGAATCCTTTTGTCTGTACAGCTCTTATTTTACAAAAGACTTAAATATTAAAAACTAATTGCTATAATTAATCCTTACAGTATTTTAGTCTACTTAATATAGTAGAGTTTAATACAACCTCCATTAAAGTTTTATAAAATTGTAAGATGATAAAGGTTCTATGTATCATGAATATAAACGATACTGAATAATATTAATGTAAATGTCAATAGAAGATAATTAACAAGTATTTCTGCTATGGAACAATGCTAAAAATGTGGTAGACAAACTTTGCCTGCAAAAAGCTCGGAGATTACTGTGATCCATAGAGCCAGAACAAACAAGATGTAAGCAATTCCAACTTGATGTGAATTAGGCAACTGATATGGTTGCCCGCCAATCTCATTAATATGAAATCCCATTGGAAATATAACTGCTGCGTTACAAAACAGTATCACTGCAATTTAATATCATTTAGTATACAACACAATACATTGTAATCATGCATAAATTTTAATAATTAATAATTTGTCATCCAAGATTCTCAAATATAACATCAATTATATTATAGAGTGCTTTTATAATTTAATTATTTTATGATTTTGTATAAATACTATAGTTACTCCGTACATGTATTATTTGTACATTTTATTATGCTAAATATTATATTTTTCTGATACGTACTGGCACTGAATCCTACCCAGCGTGCAAATGGAATGACGGTACGGTCCCAATGCGAAAGTATTAATAATATTACAGTTGCTGTGATCAGAATGCAACCAATAAATATGCAGACCAGTGCTATCATCCATTCCGACTCCAGCTGCGATTTAAAACAGACTTGCGGTCTGTTGTACAAAGTCATACATGACCACATGAGACCTAATCTTGTGTCACCTATTAGAGAGGAGGGAAAAGAAAAACACAATTAAAATGATGTTCTCAAACATCATGGTTTTTTTACAATTCGCAACTTCGAATTGATTCAGAGTGACTTTATCTCATTGGCGTAAATAAATGTCGTGCAAGGCCATGGCGAGTAAAGGCAATGAGAAAAAAAATTGCATTTCTGCAATTACCGCCGACGTCAGTAATGATCCAGTCTGGCATGGAGATGCTGATTATGGCGGAGATATCCGCGAGAAAAAAGAGTATCACCGAGATGATAGTTAATTTGTCCATTTTTCGCGCTCAGGATACTCAACAATCAAAAGTAAGATGACAGAGAGTTGGCACGTTGTTCGGAGCATAAGCTAATTGCCACCATATTTACGCGTCGTTTACTGTCAATTTGTCCATGCAACACGACTATCCCCCAGTGATCTCGGAATCGTCATCCGCGAATGCACAAGTGCCATTTCTTTATTGATAGTTACTGACAATCAAACACACAGAAGTGTCAGGAGTAAACAAGTCGACAGAAAGCGGAGATGCAGTACGGGATGACGTTGGGATGACCATCACATGGGATGACGTTTGATCGATTAATATCAGAGTTCGGCACGATTTGCACTTCTCGAGTTCTCGACCGATTTTCGATTTGGCTCCGCCTTTCGTTACTCTTCTCACCTCATCACCCCGCATGCAGTCCAAATGCCGCTCGACGCTTAGGAGCGTATAACGCTCCGTAGACATAAGGTCCACCTACTTTGGGTGCTCACGCTGTAAACTTCATTCTCTTTTTTTTTTCGTTCTTTATATAATTAAGATAGAATGAAGCAATGCGCATAAGATTGAGCGCTTACATGCGTTGTTTCATTCTATCTTAGTTATGTAATGAACGAAAAAAAAAAGATAAAATGAAATTTACAGCATGAGCACCCAAAGCAGATGGACCTGTCTACGAGTGTTATACGCTCCTAAGCATCGAGTGACATTTGGATTGCACGCGGGATGATAGGTGAAAAGAGTAGCGAAAGGCGGAGTCGAAAATCGGCCGAGAAGTGTAAATCGTGCCGAGCAATTAATCAAATTAGGTCGAGAATTCGATTCCTCGTCTCGTTTGAAAATCGATATTTTCGAATTTGCTTCCATTAGAAAGAAATCTGAGAGAAGACACGAAAGTCTTTTTCCTGTAACTGCAAAATGCTTCCGTACACTACTGTCCTCTGAAGAAGTGGATATCAATTACACGACATCCATTTTTTTGTCCTCCTGATGGAAATAAATCATTGAAATCATTGAAATCTCTATTCATTTGATAGATTTATTTCAGTAATTTCAGCGATTAAACGGATTACTATAAAGTAATATTACTATAAAGTAACGAATTACTATAGTGGCCCTTTTTGCGAGTATGTTTATTTTTTTACATTTATTTTTTTATTTCTAATTATTTTATTTATTTACTTTATTTCACTAATTATTTTGCTAAACATTTGTACTAATATACAAATTTTAATATTATCTTCGATAAAAAAAAAAGGCTGCTCTGTTTTTACCAAATATATTTGCAATTTGCAAAAAAAAAGTTTAATTTCAGAGGAACTGAAAAGTTAATGAAAATTCAAAATTAATTTAAATTTAAAAAATTTATAATTAATTTGGCTTATTTTCATATTTGATAATTGAAACGGGATGCAAATAATTAAATAAAATTTAAAAGTAATTAAAAATTTTATTTAATTTTTATCCTTTCTTTCCAATTATCAAGTATATACATATGATATCTATGTATATATCTATCTATATGTCACATTAGTTCACTAGTTAGCTTTATTATATCTTTTATATTCATATAAAGATTATGCGTTTCGCGAATTTTCTCTGTGTCCAGATCCATTCTTGAAATGCCAACGTTTCATGAGCCTTGCCTAATACTGTATCAGGCGATACAGTATGATGAAGGACTGTAAGGTTCACAAAACGTTGGCATTCCAAGAATGAATCTGGACATGGAGAAATCTGTGAAACGC